CTAGCTGAGCATGGACAGGAGGAGCCCACTGAGTCTTGCTAATGACCCTATAAAGTGGACACAGTCATGACTCTTGAGATGCTGATGAGGCAGCTGAGGCCCACTGGGGTGATCAGGCCAGATGCCTCCCAGACCCTCAGTACCTAGCAGATAAGACCTGACCTCCCACCCTGTTCTGTGCCTGCAGGAAAACGCATCTGCCTGGGGGAGGCCCTGGCCCACATGGAACTCTTCCTCTACCTCACCTCCATCCTTCAGAACTTCTCTTTACGTTCACTAGTCCCCGTGGCAGACATTGACATCACTCCCAAGATGTCAGGCTCCGGCAACATCCCCCCAACTTACAAGCTCTGCCTTGTGGCCCACTGAGCGCCCCCTACTGGCCAGGCAAGACCAGTCTGAGAGCTGAGCTCTTCCTCTTGCTCCCCAACTCACCCACCCTCCTCATCTCTCCAAATTCTCCCCATAACCCTAAGAGAAGGCACTCTCACTACTGTGATGGGACCATAGGTCAGAGGATGACATCCAAAAACACACAGCTGTATGTCTTTGTTTTAGAAAAGCAACAAACTGCCCAACATCTGGCACAAGCCCGTAGGTGTAAGTTCACAGTTTCCTCTGCCTTGTTTCTGGTTGCAACAAACTTCTGTAGATTCTGTCTTTATGTTGTTCCCTTGCCTGAGCCCTGATAGTGATCATAATATAGTTCACGATCTTTTCTGGTTTATTTTGATGTGCATTTCCCCCCAATAAAATCAACACAGATCTCAAGACTGTTACATATAGGAAATTTATTGTGCATTGTGTGAAACAGTATATAAAGCACAGAAAACCACCTGAAGTGAGCTTTTGGACTTCCTTATCACTGGTCATCTTCTCTGAAAGCCCCATCTCCAGGGACTCCTCCCTGGTTGGGCCACCACACGTGACATTCTAGCCTTCAGCATCTTGAGTGGCATTACTGTCCCCCATAACTTCTTTGCCATCCTCACTCTCCTGATTGCTCTTATAATACCCAATTCTGCACACTCCCCATTCCATTTTGAAGATAGTTCACTTGTTCATAGCCTATTATTCCATTTCTAAACTCCTAATGAGTTATTTTATTTATTCAACCAAAACATATCAAATATCCAA